CCCTGTTCAGCATGGAAGAAGCCAGAGCAGTCTGTGTCCTGATTCCCTATCCACAAATTGGGTAACCTCTTCAGAGGATGGTGTGATAAGGAGGTAGGAATTGGCTAGGCAGTTAGGGTAAAAAGACCCTGTCTCCCGATTGACTAGTTCCTCCAATGGTCGGGGCCTGCTGCAGAGTGAGGACTATGGGGGGTGTGGCTGGGAGCCATCTTGGAACGGAAGCATTGAGCAGAGCCAGAGAAGCCAGGAGCCCAGCCATTGGAATGCCACACCCAACAGCTGAAAGACAGAATGGACTGACTTTTAATGGACCGGAGGGGATCACTGGCCCCAGAGCGAATCATGGGCGTGGCGTGGTCTGATAAGGTGGCTCTGAGGTGCGGGGCTAGGCACTGGGTACTCATTCCTTTGTAAGTTAATATATGGTTTGTCTGATGGCAGGAGAGCCAGAGAGAATTTGCACCACAGACCCCAAAGAAAAGTAGCTAGTTTCTTGGCTAAAACTGACAATGTCCTTGGGCCTCTTAGCAACATACTCTGTTCCAAAGTACAAAAATGTAGAAAGTATTTGAGAGCTCTTATCTAATCCTTAAAAGATTTTAGGGTTACCTCTTCAGAGGGGGGGAATGTTAGAGTAGCCAAAAGCCCCATGAAAAAAAGAAGAGTACATGAAGTTATCAGAGAAAAGTGATGGGGGAGATATGGGAAGAGTTGAAGGGGAGGGAGTGGGCATGGATTTAATCAAAACACCTTATATGCATGTATGAAATTCTCAATAAATTATTTAAAAAATAATAAATAAATAAATAAATAAATAAATAAATAAATAAATAGAAAAAACAATCCAAGCATTAAAGGCTCAATGATCCAACCCTAGGTCTGCTATCCAGTTTTAGATTTGCTTTTGGCTTAACAAACTGCAGAGAGGAAAGATGTTCTATAAAATTCTGCCTTCACTCAGAGCAGCAGTGGGCTCCTGCACAAAACAGGGCCCATCATAGATGTGGAGGAACTCATAAGGCTCCATCACTTCCCGAGGCGCTATGGACAGTTAATGGCTGGTAGGGGGGCATATCCCTGTATTGCATCCACTGGTAAGTTATCTTTACAAATTAAATAACCTTCTGTGCTCCTACAAGCAACCCTAATTAAACTCAGTGGAGGGGGCGCGCACAAACACACACACACACACACACACACACACACACACACACACACAAGAAAATAAAGTAGAAAGGGAACTTCGATGGAAAAAAAGGTTTGGTGGGAGGAAGAAGGGGATGAGAGAATGGAGGGGATATGATCAAAGTGTATTATATATGTGTGTGTGTGTGTATGCATGTAATTGTGAAATAAATTTTAAGAGAAGGAAAATAGTCTAAAAAACTGAATATATTTATAGGGCTGGGGATGTAGCTCAGGAGGGGAGTGCTTGCCTAGCATGTGATGCCCTCAGTTCCACCCTCAGCATACACATACCCACTAAAATCATCCTTAAAATAGATGTAAGTGAAGCACTGTAATGGGGAGACCCTATGACACTCAATACTCAGTTTATTTGGGTCAGTGATGCACACAGCAAAAGAATACATTTCTCAGCCTGTCCCTGCAGCTAGCAATGTCCAGGAGATAAAACTCCTTATCAAACAGAAATTCCCTTTTAGCTCAGAAGAGAATAGCTGATAGCTAACTCCGCTGTGAAAAGCTGCCCCTTTGTCTTCCCGTACTAAGTTTTGACTGATGTGCAGATACAATGAACTGGGCTCCTGTAGCTATCTTGAACCACTGTGTCACCTTTAGGAAAGAAACAGAATGGTGACAGGAAGAATTTGAAATTTGGGTCCCAGATGATACCAGGAAAGCGCCACAGGAGCCCTTAACTTGCCACCTTCAGACTTTCTAAGGAGAAATCAGTGTTTGCTTTATTTAAGCCACTCTTGTTCCTAATTTTATTACATGCTGCCTGTATTCAGCTAATTCTAACTGAATGTGCTCCCCAGAGCCAGATAAGGCCTGGGTTCAAGTCCCAGCTTTGTCACTTATGTTGCCTTGGGTACGTCATGTCAACTCTGCAAGGACTAATGCAAGAACTCCATGTGATCATATAGGAAACGTGCAGCACAGTCTCTCATCAGCAGTCATCTGCTGACAGGAGCAGGCTTTTGCCTTCCCAGAGAAGACCACCACCATACAGAGCAAAAGGTTGTAGAGGGCGCTTTCACAATCTTAACAAGCAGGATAAAAATGTATCATCTGTGGCCTCCCACGGCCTTCGGCCATGACTATCATATTTTCAACACTACATCTGTTTACCTGTCTCTCTTTTCACGTTCTCCTGTTACTGTGGGCAAAGGCTTGAATCCAAACATTCTCCTTGGCAAAGAGCTGAACTTTGTCATGTCAGGACAGAAGATACTAGCCTGCGTTATGTAGTGAAACTGTATCTCAAAGAACCGAGGGCCATGAGACCTGACAGTATACAACCCTGTGGTCAGCTCTAAACACATGTACATAGGAGCAACATTAAATGGACTCAGTGGGTTGTATATACATATATACATGCAACAATAATTAGAGGTTATTAATTCAAGCCGTGAGGGGAGGGATAACTTGGAAGGGGGAAGGATGGTGGAAATGATATGCAGTGTTGTAAATTTTTACTCAAATATTTTATTTAAACAAAATAGTTCAGTGGTGGAGTACTTGCCTAGTATGTGCAAGGTCCTGAGTTTCCTGGGTTTGACCCCCTGTTCTAGTTTGTCTCTCCATTGCTGTGACAAAACACTTTGACCACTACCAACTTGGGGAAGAAAGGGTTTATTTTATCTTACATCTCCCAGGTCACAGTTCATCAGGGAGCCCAAGGTAGGAACTCAGGGTAGGAGCCTGGAGGCAGGAGCTGGAGCACAGGCCATGGAGAAGCAGCTGCTTACTGGCTTGTTCCCGGCCCCTGCTCAGCCTGCTTTCTTATGCAACACAGGCCCACCTGAGCAGCGGTGGCGCCACCCACAGTGGCCTGGGCCCTCCCACATCACTCAACAATCAAGAAAATGCCCCACAGATATGGCCACAGGCCAGTTCAATGGAGGCAATTCCCTGAGGCTCCCTCAACCCAGGTGTGTCAAGTTGACACTAAAGCTATCCGGCACACACACCCCCAGCACAAGATGGTAGGTAACAGCTTTATAGGGAGCTAGAAGAAGATAGTATGTGAAAATTCATGACAGGTTGAGTTTCAACTTCATTCCTACAGTTTTCATTTTTGCCCTTTAGCAACTATGGTTGTCACCAAGACTGTGACCAAATATACTACGTTGTCAACACTGATGACATCTGTAAGCTCATTTTTAGCTATGACTTTTAATCTTCAGGCTCTTATTTCCAATCATTCAGAGCATAATCCGTTTGATAGCCAGAGCCAGTAGCACCTACTCAACTGTAGACATCTGTTGAGAAGCACACATCCAGCTAGGCTTCAGGATTCCAGATAAGAAATGCACCGACACTTTTCCCCTCTATCTCCTACCAATCCATCCAATTGCTTATCAGGCCTTCATATATTGCTCTGGAGTCACTTTTTGTAAACTATTCCACGGAAGGCACTCTACTTCCCACCAGGTAAGCCCTACCTTTACAATTCTTTCATTTCAATGCTGCAAGAAACCTTTCTTTACTCTTCGATGTCCTGGTTGTGCTTATGGGCTTTGCACTGCATTGTTACCAAGAGCTGCTGTGAATAGATACTAGGTACAAAGAATGCAGGCAGTGCCTGACATTTGCTATGGGGTTTCCCTTTTAAACTTGCCCTGTGGGCAATCCTACACAGCATTTGATATTATTCCTTGAGGATTTATGTATCAATATACAGCAATCAATATACAGCAACCACCTCTATAGTTTCAGTACAAAGGCAGACCCCCAAATCCTCCTTTTCCCAGATTTTTGACACATTTAACATTCACAAACCATTTTCCAGGTTTCTTTGGATAGTTTATTGTCACAGGAAAGGCCAGGATTAAAGTGGAGTACCAAAGAAGGCCAGGAGAGAAGGAACAGGAACAGAGGTGCTCACTTCCCATCACAGGAACATTGCCTTCATTAAGGCCAAGTCTTCACTCTCACCAAGCTCACCCAAATAGAAAGACATTCTAGTTTCTAACAATTACTCTCCTAGGACTTAGGAATATAACTGGTACTCTAATTGACCAGATATACCCCTTGACCATAAACACCTGAAGAGACAAGTTACATTTTGAGGCATTAACCATCCCTTTGGGAGAATTAGAAGCAGCAGAAGTCTGATTCTCCATACTTTGAGAGAAAAAGATTATGTGTGTGTATACGAGTTAAGAGAAAGGAGAAAAAAGGGGCTCAGGGAGGGAGGGACGAGGACAGCAAACCTAACTTTTCCTAATGTCCACCTGCTTTTGTTTTCTTCTCTGATACAAGTTCCATTACTCTGAAAAGAGAGAACAAGACTTAGATACCTCCAGTCAGTTCCAGGGGGCAAAGCTAGGAACAGGGCATATACTCTGGGGAAGAGTGTTCACTTCATGGGCCTAACAATGCAGTTCAAAATTGCATCTCATCTAATGTATTGTACCTAGCAGAAATTAATTTACTCCCTGACCTTAAGCGATTGCTTAACCGTCCTGTGCCTCAACTTTCTATTTGTAAAATGAGAATTATGGCACGTTATGAGGAGTAAAAGGAAATGTATTAAACACTGGAGAAGACTGTCTAGCCAGATGGATAGATAGGAAGTAGACTGGTGGTGGACAGGGGCTGAGGTGAAAGAGAATGGGAGTGACTGCTAATGGATACCAGGTGCTGTGGAATGACAATATTCTCAAATTAGACAGCATGATGGCTGTGTGCCTTTGGGAATATAGTAAGAACCTGACTTGTACACTTTAAAAGGATGAATTTCATGGTAAAGTGTACTTTAATGTTATAAAAGCAGGATAGTGACTGATACACAGATAAATGCCCAACAAATGTTAGCAATTAATAACAGTAAATTTTATTATTACTATTAACAAAAGTACATCCCTATAAGTTCTCTATTTTTAATAAAAGCCCACAGAATATAGAAAAGGGTCTCAAATTTACATACATGGATTAATTAACATTCATACATTTATTTCCATCCAAATATCTCCCAAACTAAGAATCACATCTTGAGTGTTTTAAACTGAACTAAAGCAGCTGCATGCAATGGATGACTTGATATTACCCAAGAATATCAAACTGACAGATTTTCATTTTCATCTCCAGGAATAAGAAGGCAGTCCAAATGCAGGAAGTCAACAGATAATGTAAAGAACATATTCTGTCCCCAAGTACAGGCTTATTAGCCTTCTAATCACATCTCGGGGGAAACTGTTTATAAAAGACAAGCAGAGTCACATTTTGGGGGAAACTATAAAAGACAGAGTCAACAGTGAAAAGCTTACCAGTCTCATGCCATGTAACTTTGCCCAACAGAAGAAAATCCCCACCACAATGAAAAGATCAAATTCAACTCACTTAAAATTGAGGTCAAAAAATAAACAAAGAAACAAAACACAAAACCATATACAACATTCAAGTATGTTGCCATCAACAGAGCTTTCCTAATTTGAAGAGCAATTAAATCAAGTTTTCACCCTTCCTATCACTCGAGCAAAACAATGGAGTTTTGGTCTCAGAACTAGGTGGTGAAGTGGTCACCCAGGCCGGCTCTGACACTCCATGAATGTTCTGTAGGGATACTCACAAACCTGAAACCCACAGGAAGTACGGCATTCTAGAACAGGAGTTCCTCCATTGGAGGCTCCTGCCTTCCAGTCCTCATTTCTATATGCAGCCATGTGCCTTTGCAGCAGACCAGGAAAAGCAGTGCTGAGTTTTAGAACTTCTAGACTTTACTTGTCACAGAAAGCAACATACTTTTTTGCATATATTAAAAATATTTATACCCTCTGACCATTCAACTCCAGAGAAACAGTAATTAAGCCTCTAACTTATCCAACTCTGCCTCCTTTCTTTGCAGTGCCAAGAATTAAGCCCAGAGCATTGTGCAATGCTAGGCAAGTGCTCGACCACTGAGTTATTGCCCTAACTCGGCATTTCCATTTTAATCACATAAAATTGCTCACTGTGTCACCCAAGAGCAACAGATTAATGTACACAGGATCAAGCTGCCCTATATCCAATGTGTTTAATCCCATACCCCTTCCCTAAAATGTGGTCTTAGGAGTTTCTGCCCAAATGTTTCACCTGAGTAAAGCCCAGTTAAGACTATTTCCTTTGAGAAGTAGGAGTACATATTTAATATTACATTATAATCATTGGAGTAGATTATAGAGTAACACTGGCAGAAAGATATTTTAGTGGGAAGTTAGAAAATTTCAGGTAACAGAAACATGATAATTTAAGAACAAATTTCAAAATTAGAATCAGTTTCAAAATTTCCCTTTACTAAGACAAGGGTGAAACATTGGATTTGTCCTCACAAGGGTTTATTTCACAATTTAAAAGGTAAATTACAATGAATTCAAATACATACTCCCCAAGTCTGGACAAGGCTTGGATACAGGGGATCAACTCTGTAATGCTGGGTAATTCATCCCATGAATCTATTTGGCTTAGTGTTGCTCATTTGGTTACTCTGGGAATGCAGAAACTTGATTTTAAAACTATATATCCATATGAAGGTAGCTTTTAAATACAAAATTAATAAATATTTAAATTCTATGATAAAGAAAAAAGTGGAATAAGAAATTCCTATCTTCATAAGTAACTGCATATTCACAATGAATATTCTCTGACTCCTAAGCTTTGTTTATTAGAGTTTTTCAATGATCAACTTATAGAAGACAACAGTTCATATTGCCTTACCAGAGTCCCGCTTAGCTGAGAATCAGCATGTCTTACATATTCTCTGTTCCCTGAAAAGTCTTCACACTTGTGCATAAATATCTGAGAGGACAGGTTGGTGCACATGTGCAAAATGTACTTATCTAAAGAGGAGCTAATTAACTTTACAAATAAAGTCTAAAACAGAAAATAAATTGCTATTTCCCAGCCCAGAAAACATTATCTAATGAAAATACTGCTGAGCCCACTATGGAAGGCCAGCAGATGTAAACTCAACTCACCCGATATCACACTTACATAAGCATCTGGAACACTGGATTCTCCATGTTCACTTGGTTAAATGCACACCTCTGATGTACCTTTCTAGTCCAAGGCTGGACTGCACAAAATAATGAGTAGTTCCTCCTACTATGCAATATCTAAGCTGTACCTGAAAAGGTGCCCAAATGACAATATGCAGGAGAGAGCCATGAACCTAGAACTCTGAGATGTTCTTCTACTCAGAGAAGCTCCAACAATGGACCAATGAACACCTCTGACAAAGGAAAGCTGCATGTTTGACTGCTAATATTGCATATTCAGAACTTGACAGCAAGATTAAAAGCCAGACTGAAAACTGAGGTGCTTCTAAAGCATGAAAGGTAACTATACAAAAATGCCAAAAAGGCTGATTCTTTAGATGCTATTTGTTTTCCCCCTTAAATCAATAAGTTTAGCATTATTTCTGATCAAAATCTGAATAGTGGTTAATGCACACATCTATAACCCCCTTCCTATCCTGTTACTGCCTTTTTAAGCTTGAGGGAGAAAAATAAAATGGATACGAACTTTGTATTATTTTGAAGAGGCATATTCTCCTAATTATAAGGCAGTATATGTTTAACAGCTGCACCTGAATAGATATTCTCCAAGCTTCTTAAGATGGTTACCAATTTTATTTAACTTGTTAGGTGGATCCACGTGCTCCTTGATTCATTGGCTGTCACCCAAATGGACCAGTGTCTTCATCATGCCTTAAGTAGGCATTTTACTATGTGTAGTAAGCACATGGTTTGAAAGAAATAAGAGGAAAAGGACAGCCAAGCAAATATCAGTTCCTTATATAAATGACAACAGTGCTAAGTGGCTCCCTTTTTAATACGTCCCAAAAGAGGCTACAGTGAAGTTGGTTAACTGTCTTTCAAGGTGAGCCTTCAGGTCATCAAGTGAGCCTTCTGATCATCCGTATTCCATCAGTTCTAAATGCTGGCTGTCTGATTTTATTAGGGAGTGAAGGTTAGTATCAGCCAACTAATGACAAAATAAAACAAAAACACAGGATACACTGCAAGGGCTTTACGGTTTGGAGGTTGGCTATCAGCAAGAAAAGCTGTAGATGCTAAAGAAAACAGAAAGGAATATTTAATACAATCATATTATCAGAACTACTAATATTTACTAAACTTCAATGTGTTTGGTATAATTTGGAACACAGAAACACACTAAAGGTTCATTTGTGATCCCCCTCAGAGAAGAATATTAAAAGTTATGGGGCTGTAATGTGTGGCTCAGTAGTACAGTACTTGCCTGCCCTCGGTTCCGTACATAAAAACAAGGACAAGCAGAATTCACTTAGATCTGCCATCTTCCAATAGCCAAGAGTGGCTTCCATCAAGTACTAAATCTTTAAGTTTTTTGACCATCTTGGATAGAAATCCTTCTTTAAAGATGTTTCTTGCCCTTTTCTGGAGCTGTTAAATTATGCTGAGATGGTTAAGGTTATTTGATCCTATGATAAATGGTCTCATATTACTTCATTAAAAAAATAGATCAGAAGAGGGCACTGGATCCCCTGGAACTGGAGTTATGGATGGTCGTTAGCCATCATGTGGGTGCTCGAAATTGAACCTGGATCCTCTACAAGTGGCCAATGTTCTTAACCAGTGAGCCATCTCTCCAGTCCCTGATTCATTTTTTGAACTAATTGTTCTTAAATTATCAACTCTGTGTGTGTGGGGGGGGTGCTGTTGTTGCCATTTTTTTTTAAAACAAGGTCTCATATGGTCCAGGCTGGCCTCCAATTCATTATGTAGCTGAGGCTAACCTTGAACTCCTGATCTTCCTGCCTCTACCTCCCAAGTACTGAGATTCCAGGTCTGTGCCACTATGCCTGGCAAGTAATGAGCTCTTCTGAAGTGGCATCTTTCTGTCTATCCAAGGACAGCCTACTTATCTTCTTACGCATCAAGGATAACCCCTCTAGGCTGGGCCAAGATGCAAAGCTTGGAATCCCAGTAACTTGGAAGGTAGAGGTAGGATGATCAGGAGTACAAGGCCAGCCTGAGCTATACTGAGTGAACCTGTCTCAAAAACAATGTGGTTATCTACATCGTTTTTCTTTTTTTTTTGGTTTTGTAGTGCTCAAGGCCGAGCCTAGGGCCTGCACATGCCAGGTAGGCACTCCATCAGAAGTCCTATATTCCCAGCCTTTTTCAAACTTTTCATTTTAAGGCGTGGTATTGCTAAATTGCCCAGGCTGGTCTTGAACTTGCAATCTTCCTGCCTTAGCCTCCAAAGTAGCTGAGATTACAGGTGTACACCACCATGCCTTGCTACCTTCCACATCTTCTAAGTCCAAATATCCAGCTCACATAAAATGGGCACCATCCCTTCAATGCTTACTTCAAATAGTGGGTTCTATGAATGCTATTCTCATCTGACAGAAGAATTTCATTGCTCATAATTTGCTCTTTATCTTTAACCCATGTTTTTATCTGTTCTGGTATTATAGAGGTAAGTACATACTCACCAATTACAGACCAGGCGAACATTACAACCACCACAAAAAGGCGAATCATGAAGTTTATGGGACCTGGCCCTGCCAAAAGCACCAAGCGGCAAATCAGCATCGCAGCTGTCAAAGGAAGTATGCAGTAACCCAGCACGCAAAGGCTCTGAAAGAACGAGCTGTAAACAACATACAGCCACAGATCATAAGTATAATTGATTTGATATCAAGACACAGCTCATTACGCAGATGTCTAGTCTATGGACTACTGCCTTTCTCCTTCTATGCTATACCTATACAGTAATTTGATGAGGCTAGTCCTCTAGATCAAACAGATGCTTTCATTTTCTCTATCCTCTTCCTGTTCCCCTTAAACTCAGAGTCGACTTTTCTAATATCAGACAAGCTATTCTAAATCCTAGAGAGCTTGCACTGAACCTCTAAAAATGTAGTCCTTAATCTGTTCTACTTAGAGACAAGTCTGCGGATATGTTGAAAACTAAGTACCATTGGCTCCCCCCAAATACACACAATCTTCTAAAAATTCTGCCTATAACTTCAAAGCTGAAACAGAAGTTTGGAAGCTTATCACTTGACTCCAAGTAATTTATTTCAACTAAATTAGCTCTCTATTTGGTGTTATTAGGGAACTTTTTCTTTGGTCCTTATCTACTTTCATTTTTCTTTAAAAATATAAAATGGGATTTTCTTTAAAAATATCAAAACGACTTCTCTAAAATCTAAGATATGCTACCTGGCAAAGAGGAACAAGTTACCTTTTAATGATACTCACATGTTTCCGCCAAGAAGTTTTGAATTGATGGTGATAGTAACTGCACCAAACCAGATGATGACAAATACTTCAGCAAACTGGGGCCCGCCGCCTGGCTCTCCATCCACAGAACTCTTTTGCAGCATTCTAAGATAAGAAAACAGTATGAAAATTACCTAATCTTTTATACAGAACAACAAAGACATGAGTTCTCACCTGATTCCTGTGCTATATCTCATCTGAATACCTGTATTATGTATGCTGTGGTGTAAGAAAAATGCCGAAAGTATTTGACGAGTTTCCCGTATTTCAAACCTCAAGTGCCTGAGAACTATAGGGAATCGTGAATTTTGATCTTGCTGGAATGTTTAACGAGAAACCTTTTCTGTCCAACCAGAGGTTATAAACTAAAGGGCCTAATGTGGCTCACAAACTTGAGTTTTTTTTTGTTGTTGTTCATACCACGTAAAATAGTTTAAATTTCTTTTGATGTTCTTTAATTGGGATGCTTCCCATAAGACTATGTATTTCTAAAGATGGATTTGGAGGTGCACATCTGTAATCCCAGCACTGGGGAGACTGAGGCAGGAGACTCTTGAGTTCAAAAAATAAAGTAATTCCTGGGGTAAGTGTTTGCTCAGTGGTAGAGCACAAAAAATGTCCTAAAGGAAATATTTAGTCAAAAGTCCCCTTAATTCTGAAACTCCACAGAAAAGTCTTGTCTAGCTCAAATGATAGAGGGAATTTAAGTACTTACAGTGCAAGTGACACACAGAGTATCAACGGGCCCCACAAATCCCCTACAAGGAAAGGAAAGACAGTCCACTAAGAAACAAATGCCATGCTCCTATCTTTTTTCTAATACCTCTTCCATCAGAATTCGAGCAACAAGATTTACCCAAGCTTCCCCAGCCATTTCTGTGCCCTTGTCTTTACATACCTTTTAAGGTTTGTTATCTCCTATTCTTCTTTTAATCCATATTTCATCACATGAAGGGCTATCTGTCTCCCCAAATATAAATAATATTCAAACAAAAAAAAATTCTGCCTGTGACTTCTGGGGCTGGCGAAAATGTGAAGCTTATCAAAAGGGCTAGGTGACACCACCTCCACACATACCCTCAGGAAGACTACAGCCTAATCATGCTACCCAGCTCAGCTATAAGCAGTTTCTAGGTGAGGGTAGGCAGCTAGTTCATGTTTACTGATGAATTTAGTAGGCCAAATCTTGCAACTTCTGTAATTCCATTCTAAATTTCTTCCAAAATTTTTTTACATAATTTTTCTTCCTGTAAAACATTAGTCTTATTGTCTTTGCCTTATAAAGTAGTGATGATAATGTACAATGACAAAAAAGCAAATCCTCAAAAATCTCGTATACTTACAATCTCTCAAAAGTGCATTACTTTTCCTTGGATACAGAACATGCATAAATTTTTTCCCCACAGCTTTTAGATCACGCATCTGAAAGACAAAAATAACTTGGCTGTATTGTAGTGATTGAAGTTACAAGGAAGCCCCCTCTATTTTATAAAAAAGACTGTACCAATCACTCTCCAAGGAAGAATAAAATTTAAATAGGTAAAATATATTAAAAGTCAATGAAGCTAACAAAATATTACAAAGTATTAGTAGTTATTTGATCCCAAATTGTTGAAGAGTGCTCTCAACTCATCTAACTTACGATAGTATTCCGAACTGATTCATTTAATGTAGAGCTGTCAAATTCTCGAGCGCGTGATCGCATGGGAATGGTTATTTCTCCTTCAACTGGAGTGTCTTCGGAAATAGAAATATCAGAAAGCCCCGCAAACTGAGAAAAGATAGAAGAAAAAATTTAAGCCTATAACGAACCCCAGCACTCCTCAAAACCATTGCCATTTTCTAGAGTAGGGGCCATGTCTTTCTGTAGGGTTTTTCTGTTTTGTTTGTTTGTTTTGAGAAAGGATTTCACTTTGTAGCCCTGGCTGGTCTGGAACTTGGTATTTAGACCAAGCTGGCCTCAAACTCAGAGATCTGCTTGCCTCTGCCTCCAGAGTGCTGAGATTAAAGGCGTGCGCCACCAAGCCCTACCCTGTTAGGGTTTTGCATAGCACTTAAAAGTAAATCTTAGCTCAACAGACATTAAGCAATACAGTTAACTGTAATTCTCAAACTCTTCTTTGACTTGTAACGTGGTAGAATATAATGGAAAAAAAATAGTGAAAGCAAATGCCAGACACTTGCCATCACACAGTCTCTTTCAAGTGCAAAATTTCTCTATATCATAAGCTTGCAAGATTGCAGAGCTATTAAAAAGTGATCTTCTAGCAACAACATTCAAGAATGACTCCATTTTACTGTACTTCTGTTCCTAGTAGGCTTTAGTGGCCTCTGTTGGTTAAGAAAGAGCATTTTAGAAAATGTAAAAGAGGTTGGAAAACAGAAAAACAGCAACATACGTCTTGATTCACATTCTTTCCCCAGGTTAGATGGAAACACTGATGGAGAACATTTTCAAAGTAAATAATGTGAACTTTTAAACTTATGTTCATCTGCCAAATCTGATCATGAGGACCATAACTTTGGATTCTACAAATTCCTAAGCAAACAAAACAATCCCTTCTCCTACAGTTTTTAGCACAGTAAGCACAACTTTTAGTGGACAGGTTCTCTAGTGTTAGGTCATTTAATTCACTTAATACACAATGAATATCTTGATTCTACAGATGATGAGAGGCATGGTGGGATACAATAATTTCCCCAAAATGATACTTAGAATCAAACATAGGCAATTTGACTTCAGAGCACACATTCCTAACCACTGTTCCATACTGTCTCCCTGATTCCATAGGCTTATATTTTAAGGTCTGTCTCTTAACAATTCTCTGTACTTCAGTCAACGTGGTGTAGGTGCTGTTCTATAAACACATTCACAACTTCCAACCTCTGTGCCTTTGTCCACGAGAGGCTGTGTGTGGCATAGACAGAAACAATCTGGGCTGCAGAGGCATATCTAGGTTCAAATTTGAAGCCTGGTCACTAACTGAATGTAGATCTTAGGAAAATCAAAGCTTTCCACACCTCATTTCTCCTTTTGTCAGGAAAACATAGCTAAAAGCCAACTAATAGGCCACGTGTGGTGGCACAGGCATCTCACCCCAACATCTGGGAGGTGGGTGCAGTGGCACAGGCCTCTAACCCCAGCACTTGGGAGGCGGGCACAGGAGAATCAGGAATTCAAAGCTGTTCTCAGCCACGTTTCCAGCCTGGAGACATAAGACCTGTCACATACTGAAATGGTTGCTGGGTCGTTTAGAAAATATACAGAGATGTCTAAGCACAATGCCTAGCACAAAGTATGTGCTCAACCAGTGGTGAGTCCTAGGCTTACCTGGAGTTACAAACCCTTCCCATCCTTTGAGACCCTCTCAAATGTAACTGGCTTAGTCATTCCAGTTTGACACAATAGCACCATCTTTTCAATTTCCTTAATATTTTACATAAAACGTCCTCTTATGTAGTTCCTTCTTTTAGCACTGTGTATTTCTACAAGTTAGACTGTATGTACCATAGGGGTAGAGCCTTTATAATCCCTAAAGCAACTAGCTGAGTTGTTGAAATTCAATAAATGTGCTGAACAGAAGTGAAGTGGATATGGAAGGAGTAATCAGAACCACTGAAGAAGTTAACTGGCAAGCGCTTCATTGACGATGGTGTGATGATGCACAGGAACCCGACCTAAGAAGACCGTGAGTTTCAGGACAGTCTGGCCTACAGAGCAAGACTGTATGTGTGGTGAGTGCAACCCCCCCATACTTAGGCTTCACAGAAGAGAGGTAAAAGTAGTACAGTCTGGAGGATAGAGAAACTAAAACTAGCTATCTGTAACAGTGTTTATGTGATTTTACCCAAGGTCACAACTGATCCACAAGAAGATGAGCCAAATCACCTTGTACCTTCAGTGCTAGGGATTGGACTCAAGGCCTTGCACATGCAAAACAAGCACTCTGCCACTGATCTACATCCCCAGCTCCAATACAGTCTTTCATCATTATGTTCCCAGTGCCTAAAAGTCTAACTGGGACACAGCAGATGCTCAATAAATATTTGCTGAATTAAGAGATGAACAAATACGCAGCAGAATCGGGACTCAAGTCAAGTTCACTTGCCTCTCAGTTAATCTCCATTGTAAAGTTGCCAATTTAAAACAATGGAAATAAATCATTTACTGAGCAACCACTATATAAATGAATGTTTGAGAGGAAGGGCATCTGGGCAGAACACCAACTTCCTTACACTACTCCATTCATGGCTTTGATTGTATTAGGCACTTCATTTAATTATGTCATTTTATCTTCCTAAATCTCTTCAAGGCAGGTATCTTCATCTCTGTTCAAGTGATGAAGATATACTCCTTATGAATGAGCTGTCCAGCGACACAAGCTTCATTAACTGCAAAACCTGTGTTCTTAAAATAGTATGAGCCTTGGTTCATGCTGTCTTATAAATGAGTGTCTTGAAGAAGATGGCAAGCGCCAAGGCAATAATAACTAGCTTACTGGGGTCACGGAACATGTAAAAGGCTCAAGTTACAAGCAATAAAATGATAATAATGGGAAGCAGTTTCTCAGTACGTCTGGAAGTACTCCACAACGGCTGATTGACACATCTTGATAAAACAATGACAGTGGAAGAAAAGGTGTTTCAGAAGCCAGCATTTAGCACCATGTAGGGGACATGGAAGCCCTAGGGTGTGGGAAAGGAAAGTGCGTGTAAAGAACGCGGAGGGCAGGGGTAAAGAGGTTACCCAAAAGAGCAGGTGCAGTGTTGGGGCTGGTTGTAGCAGGGGGTACAGCATGGGCCTGCGGGGCCAAAGGACTCCGGCTCTCTCAGGTCACGAGCCGGTCTCCGACTTCCTTACGGGAAATTCTGCCTCACCCTCGGTCCCATTCGTCGCGGTTCCCAAGCTCACCAGAGGCCTGGGCGAGGCTGTCTCGCGGTCTCCTGGAGACTCCTCCGCTTCCGCCATCTTGGCCCCCCGTTTCAAGGGTTGCTCCCATAAGTCTTTGCGGAACCTGAGACGTGGAGGCCACAGCTGGTCAAAGCGCTGTCGCACGGAGACACCGTCACCGCATGCGCCTGAAATAGCTGGCTATCGCAGAGCTAGGGAGGTCCCCGAGCTATCCAGCGGCCTCCAGGCGCGAGGCCGGGCTCTGCCTTTCACGCCCACGAACCCGCTGGCTCAGGGCGAAGCCCAGCCGAGCCCAGTGGCTCCTAGCCGAGCCCTGCCGAACGTTGCTGAGCCCTGCCGAACACAGTCGAGCCTTGCGGCGCCCAGCCGAACCCTGCCGAAAGCAGCCGAGTACCGCCGAGTGCAGTGGTACCAGCCGAACTCAGCCGAGTCCAGCGGCGCCCGGCCGAACGCAGCCGAGTCCAGCAGCGTCCAGCCGAGCCCAGCGGTGCTCAACCGAACGCAGCCGAGCCCAGCAGCTTCTAGCCAAGCTCGGCCGAACACAGTCGAGCCTAGCGGCGCCCAGCCGAACCCTGCCGGAAGCAGCCGAGTGCCGCCCAGTCGAACTCAGCCGAGTCCAGCGGCGCCCAGGTGAACGCAGCCGAATTCAGCAGCGTCCAGCCAAGCCCAGCTGAACATAGCCGAGTCCAGCGGCGCTCAGCCGAACTCAGCCGAGTCCAGCCGCGCTGAGCCGAACTCAGCAGTGTCCAGCCGAACACAGCCGAATCCAGCGGCACCCAGCCGAACTCAGCCGAGTCCAGCCGAACACAGCCGAGTCCAGCGGCGCTCAGCTGAGCCCAGCAGTGTCCAGCCGAACCCAGCCGAGTCCAGCGGCACCCAGCCAAACGGAGACGAACGCTGCAGAGTGCCGCCAAGCCCAGTGGCGCCCAGCTGAATGTAGCTGAGGCTATGGGCGCCCTGCCAAGCCTAGCTGAACACTGCTGAACCCAGCAGCGCCCCCTGAATCCTGCCCAAAGCAGCCCAACCCAGCTGGGCCAAGCCCAGTACTGCTGAGCCAAGCAGGGTCGCCGGAGGTGGCGCTGAAGTGCCTGCTACTCTCCCACAATCTCCGCAGCTCTCTTCTCTTCTAGGAGAACAGACCTGCATTCCCTCTCCTGGCCCTCTTCAACTTCCTGTTTAATCTTCCTGACTCGCTGTTGCCCATGCCCTCCCTGCTAGTTCCCTGGTTTCTCAGAGGTCAAGTCGCTTCCACGTCCTTCATATCCGTAAACCTCTGAACTGTCTGTCCACCGACCTTCTACAGTTATTTTCTCCTTCACTTCTTGTGGAGAGGGAAAACGTCATTGTCCAAAATTTTCAATCTCACAACTTTAAAGTTGCTAAGCTATTTAGGAAAACTACTGAAAATATTCGTGGTCAAAAGGTGGTGGGGGTGGGATGATAGCTACTGTAACCCAAAACCAAACAACCCCCCCCCAAAACCCCACGTTTCTACTGTCCAACTTTTCTCCAGTACCTCATCCTGGCGGGTTCACGGTGTTTCTTCCTCAGGGCTGTTCTGGCTCACCTCTGGCCCTGGCTTAAATGAGGTCAAACAAGAGAGGCATTGTTGACACCATCAGTATTCTGATAGTGGATGGTTAGGTGGGTGCCCCGTAGGCTGGAGAAAACTTGTACCACTTTTAACCAACAGGGGTAGGAAATGTGTGTGTCATACGCTGTTTTATATTTTTGGATCTGCAATCCAAGAAAAAAACCAAGTAATAAACTTGAGGAAAAATGTGGGACATGGAAAGACAGACTCCACCCCCCAAAAAAATTTGGGGGGGGTGGCTATTTGGTTTACTTAAAGATCATTACAACAATTCTTCAAACCAAGTATATTTTCAATACTTGCACAAATACTGGTGGAAGTGACACCAAAATTTAGGTCTTGCCAGCAGTGGTGCAGAGTTGCAATCCCAGAGGGAGGTGGGCTATTGGATGTTCGAAGTCAACCTACTGTATATAGATAGATAGTACTAGGCCATTCCTGACTTTATGACTACATGGCATGATCTTGCTTAATTATTATTTTTAGGGGGTTGGTACTGGAAAAATGGCTCAGCAGTTAAGAGTATGTACTGCCCATCCAGAGGACAGGAATTTGGTTCCCAGAACCCTCTTATAAGAGCATATCAGGCAGCTCTTAAGGCCTATAACTCCAGTTCCAGGGGGATCCAATGCCTCTGGCCCCCCTGGAGCACGTGAACTCACGCATAACTCCCCCCATACACACACATACACTTGATTAATAAGAAATTGATGCTAGGAGTGGTGGCACAGGCTTTTAGTCCCAGTACTGGGGGGAGACAGAGGCAGGTAGATCTCTGTGAGATATGAGGCCAGCTTGGTTTACATAGTGCCAGGCCAGCTGGGGCTACATGGAGACCCTGTCTCAAAAAAAAAGTATATATATTTCTTTTTCAGTAAGTAGATATAAAGTCCTGTTTTAATTCCAAGAAAATATCCTCTGCATGGCATGATGAGTCACACCTGTATAATCACATGGTCGGAGAGGTGGAGGCAGGAAGATTAGGAGTTAAAGCTCATCCTGGGCTACAAAGCAGATCCTGTCTCAAAATCCAATAATAACAACAATGAAAAGAGTATGGTGTACAACTGCCTCAGAGTCAGCCTTCCACCCCATTTCCTCTCCCCCTTCTACCCTGGCTCCTGCACTTCCCACCCACTTCCCTAAGCCATTGATAACTTCTATTTCCTTGCTAGCCTCTAAAATACCGACCCCCCACCACCCTGTTTCTATTCCCACCCTCATCTGGGCCTCTTTACCCCTCTTTCGAAATGGACTTAATACTGAGTTTAAAGGAAGAAAGGCCATAAGACAAGTGAGTAAGCTTTCAGGGTGCCTCAGCATTATTTCAGACTATCAGTAGTCCTTTCTCTCATTTAACTAAGGGGGTACTGGTTAGAAGTGATGTCTCGAATTAACAAAAGAAGGAAGGAAGGTTGTGAGGGAAGAAGGAATATTCAGTTTTTCATTGCAAATATATGTTCCCACAGTACTAAATTAACTCAGCATTTTAATTCATTTTGAGATAGGGTGTCTAACTCAGGCTGGCCTCAAACTTTCTATGTACCTGTGGATGACCTTAAACTGATCCTCCTTCTTCCAAGTCCTGAGTGCTGGAATGACTGGTGTGGGCCACTAGGCCCAGTTTATGCAGTGATGGGGATTGAACAAAAGGCCTTGTGAATGCAAGGCTATGTTCTACCTATTAGGCTACATTCCCAGCACTCATTATTCTTTAATATGCTTATAGTCATTACTATTTGTCAGAACATGGGCATCTACAGTACAGCAGGACTTGAAGGACATGCAGTAGTTGCTTAGAAACTCTGTAAGTGGTAGGATTCAGATTACTATTTAAACCAACAGGTATGGAGAATTTTCTTGGTTCTATATTTTAAGACAATAGAAGGTATAACTGTACAAAAATAACCGAAAACATCGAGGAAATATTTTCCTAGGAAAAAATAGTTAAAATTGAAGTCAGAAACCAGGTATGGGGCAAGCACACACTTGTAATCCCAGAACTCAGGATATAGAGGCAAGAATTCAAAGTCATCTTCAACTATATATGGAGTTTGAGTCCAACCTGAGCTACATGACACCCTGTCTCAAAAGCAAATTGAAGGCAGGTACGGGAGTATACATTCCTGTAAGCCCAACACTTGAGCAGCTGAGACGAGTGGCCAACCTGGGCTATGCAGCAAGAGAGCCTCAAATTTTAAAAAGTCGTAATTGACCCATAAATTTAGTAGAACAAAATTTTGGAAGGAAAAGGTTTAAAATATACAAATGATGAGGTACAGAACAGTTTGTACTGTATGCTACCATCTGAGTGAAAAAGTAAATACAGCAGATATATACTTACATATATCAGGATCCTTCATGACACATGAACTATGCCAGCAAACTGCACAAGTACTCTGCCTCTTGGAAGCACTCTGCCAGTACTCTGCCTCTTGGAAGAGAAAGGGGGTATGGCAATAAGATGTGGATGGACATTCACTGGAGGAATGGCTTAGTGTTTAACTTGGAGGGCTATTCATTGTGTGTCCTGTAATTGAATTTGAATTTTTTCTATTTATTTATTTATTTGAGGCAGGGTCTCCCTATAGCCCAGCTGGCCTGGAACTGGCTATGTAGACCAGACTGGCCTTGACCTCACAGAGATCCACCTGCCTCTGCCTCCCAAGTGCTAGGATTAAAGGTGTGTGGCACCAAACCCAGCTTTATTTTTATTTCTGAGGCAGGATTTTACTATGTAGTTCAATCTAGCTTCAAAGTCTCTATGTAGCACAATTCTGTCTTAGCCTCCCAAGTGCTAGGATTATTGAGGTGGAACACCACACTTAACCAGTTTGAAATTTTTGCCATAAATGCATGTGATCTAGCAGAACTATAAAGCAATAATATCTCATGAACAGATAAGAGTTCTTTTTGGGGTGTGAGGGGCATATATGTGTTATATATGTATGTGTGGTATATATGTATGTATTCCTATGGGTATGTGCATACAGGTGCAAGTATTGAGGCCAGAGATGGCAGTGTAAATGTCTTCCTCAATCTCTCTCCACCTTATTTTTGAGACAGGCTCTCACTGAATGTGATGGTTTGAATGGAAATGTTCCCCATAGGCTCCAAGTATTTGGACATTTTGTCCCCAGATGATGGCGCTGTTTCGGGAGGTTTTAGAAGGTGTGGCTATCCTAGAGGGAGCACATCACTGGGGGTGGGCTTAGAGAGTTCTTAAGCCTTGCCAGATCTCCAGTTACTCTCTTACTTCCTGTGCCTGCGTGATGATGTGAGAGCTTAGCTTCTGCTGCTTCTGCTCCAGCCACCTCCAGCCACCATGTCTCCCTGCCATGAGGACTGTAATTCCCCAGGAACCGTAAGCTCAAATAAACTCTTCCTTCTATAAATTCCTTGGGTCAGTATTTCTATCACAGCAACAGAAAAGTGACTAATACATTGAACCTGGAGCTCACTGTCTCAACCAGGCTGACTTGCCAATGAGCTCTCCAGATCAGCTTGTCCTTGCTCCCCCTAATGCTGGAGTTAGAGGTATGTGCGACTGCACCCAGCTTTTACATTGGTGCTGGGGATCCAAACTCAGGTCCTCATGCTTGTGCACCAGGGACTTTACTGACTGAGCTACCTTCTAAGCCCTTGACAGAATTTCTTCTCGGAAATATAAAGTAGACTCAGAAGCAGGAAATGCAGTGATAACAAGTGATCATTGTAATAGGCCAAAGGGGCGGGGACCTCATTACCTTGATACCTTGATGGTTAAAATGCTAATGTTACTTTCTCCCCCTTTTTTGTGGCACTGGGGATTGAATCCATGGCTTTGTGAATCACAGGCAAGTGCTCTACCACAGAGATACAGCCCCAGCCCCCAAGTACTACTTTTCTTTCCTAAAAACAAGTACATTACTACAATAAGAATAGAAAGCTACTTATTTAACGTTACAAATAATATCTGTTTCCAAATGAAAACCAACATTATAGCATACTTGACTTTCATAATAAAGCCAAAAATGATTAAAAAATACTTATTATCACAGTGTTGTCATGCTGGGAATGAAGAGCCAAAGGCACAGAGGTCAAAGTATTTTTCAGATGAAAAATAATATGAAAGTTTTAATAAAGAATATGTACTGTGAACCTGCCAGGCAAGATGTAACTGCTGGTACAGTAGTGACTGTTAGGGAAGTTAACTGTTTGCTGACTGAATTTGAGGCCTGCTGCACAAGAGGGAACACGTGTTTTGTCTGGTAAACCTGAGAAACCTGCCAGTGGCTGGGCGGGTCATAGACCATAGGGGGCAACCTGCAAGCATGTAATGTTAAAATCCAGCTGCTGCTTCGGAGGTCCTACCCCCATCTTCATCTCTGTCCAGCTTAGAAGAAGTTAGATGGAGTCAATGCCCTCTGTCCCTTTGGTCTTCTCCTCTATCTC